CTTTGCTAAAATCTAGGTCACTCCTCATCCCCTCACTCTGTCCGGCAGGCATCAAATAAGCAAGGAAGCAGTGTTGGCTTTGTGGTCACCGTGGCATTTTCTAGATGCTTACTAACCAATTGTTGAAGGATCCCTTGTAGAATTTTGCCAGGAATAAAACTTCAAACCCTGTTCGAAGATGCCATTCTCTTTCTTTTTCCCTACCTTCCCCTGGTGGTAGGGAAGCTCAAGACATAAATCAAAAAGAGAAGGAATCGCTCAGAAACATCCATTAAAAAAGCCTCAAAGGAAAACAGTAGTTTGGGCACAAATTCAAGTAGAATTCCTGGAAGCGATAAAGCAAGAGATCAGGTTTTTTAAAAAGAGTTTAAAATTAATTTTTTAAAATAAATTTAATGGGTCCATTGGAGGAAAAAATGGGGAAAGAGTGGTGAGAGAAAGAACTGGAAGGGGAATTAACATCTTGGCACAAGAGATACAAAACAAAGCAACAAACTCTGAAAATTAGAATGGACTGAAAAAGATAATGACTCCATGAGATGACGAAGAATATTAAAGTCAAATGATGGGGAAAAAATTGAAGAAAAGTCGTTTCGCATCAAAAACAAGTAGCCTAGAAAACAGACCGAGAAGAGACTATTGAAGACGCACTGGACTATGTGAAAAGCCCTGTCCAAAAAAAGAGCCTAGACATCATATTTAAAAAAAACAAAATTGCCCAGATCTCTCAGAATCAGAAAATAGAGTGGAAATATAAAGAATTGATTACCTCCTGAAAGAAACTCCAAAATAAAAAAAAAAACTCAAAAATATTACAGCCAAAATCCAGAGGTTGTAGTTGAAGAAAAAACATTGCCAGCAGCAAGAAAGAAAGAGTTCAAATACCAAGGAACCGCAGTCAAGATCACACACAACTTAGCAGCCACCACATCACATGAGCAGAGAGCTTGGAATATGATATTCCAGAACGTAAAGGATATAAGCTCACAGCTGAAAACAACCTAGAAAAAACAGTATAATCCCACAAGGGAAAAATGAAATGAGAACTTCCAACCTTTTCTAATGAAAAGACCACAGCTGTATAGAAACTTTGAAATACCAACCCAGGCGTCAAAAGAAACAAAGGTAAACGTAGGTGATCAATCATAAAGGATTAAGCAAAGATGAACTGTATGTGTTCTAAAATGGAAAGATGATGCATGTGTCCCCTCCAAACCCTGTATCATTGGGGTCATAGAGGAAATCAAGTAAGAGTGGTTTTGATTATCTTAAAAGAAGAAAGATGGGGAAAGGAATGCGATTCCTGTGGGGAGAGAGCTAGGACAGAAAAGAGGGGAACTTCTCTCCCACAGGAAAGGAGAATAAGCAGGTATCTATACAAACAGAGAGGATGGGGTGGAGGAGAGAGTGGCACTTGAACTTCACTCATTTTCATCTGAACTGCTCAGAGAAGAAAACACACAGTTGGATGCAGAAATACAGTGTATTCAACAAGGAGACTGGAAGGAAAGGAGACAGGAGGAAACTGGAGAGAGGGCAGATTTAGAGAGGGATTCTTCCTGAGCAAAACAAATACTTTTTTCCCCCACTTAATGGTTTTTTCCAGTTACACGTAAATATAGTTTTCAACATTCATTTTTATAAGATTTTGAGTTCCAAATTTTTTTCTCTCTCTCTCCCCCCTCCGCTTCTCCAAGAAGGCATAGGCTATACATGTACAATCATATTAAACACATTCCCACATTAGCCATGTTGTGAAAGAAGAATCAGAACAAAAGGGGAAAACTATGAGAAAGAAACAAAAACAAAAATAGCATGCTTCCATCTGCATTCAGACTTCACAGTTCTTTCTCTGGATATGGACAGCATTTTCCATCATGAGTTATTTGGAGTTGTCTTAGATCACTGCATTGCTGAGAAGAGCTAAGTCTGTCAAAGTTAGTCTTCAAACAATGAGCAAAACAAATTCTAATAATGAAGGATAGAATGTGAAGAGGCATTTAAAAAGAAACAAAAGATAAGATTGGACTCTGGGTGAGGAAAAGAGAAGGGTAGGAAAGTAGAAGTAGATTGGACCTCCCTCCTCACCCTTTTCTGATTTATAAAGGGGAAGGAGAAACTGGTCAGAGTAATTAATGAATTAAAGAATTCATACAATAACAATGGTGTGAAGAAAAACTTCTTTGGAATCCCTAAGAACTCTGATCAATGCAGTGGCCAACCATAAATCCAGAGAGCTAGTGAAGAAATCTGCTACCCACCTTCTGACAGACAGAGGATAGACTTGGGGGTGCAGAATGAGACAGACTTAACACATAAAGTGCTTTGTAAACCTTAAAGCATTATATAAATGTTAGCTATTACTCCATGGCCAATATGAAAATTTTTTCACTTGACTATGTTTCTTAAAATTTGTGTTTTAAATGAAGGCGGTAGGTAGGAAAATGCATTGTTGGTGGAGTTGTGAAATGATCTAACCATTTTGGAGAGCAATTTGGAACTATACCCAAAGGGCTATAAAAATGTGTATACCCTTTGACCCAGCAATAGCACTTCTAGGACTACATCCCAAAGAGATCATACAAATGGGAAAAGGACCCACATGTACAAAAATGTAGCAGCTCTTTTTGTGGTGGCAAAGAATTGGAAATTGAGGGGATGACCATCCATTGGGGAATGGCTGAACAAGTTGTGGTATATGAATGTAATGGAATACTATCGTGCTATAAGAAATGATGAGCAGGCAGACTTCAGAAAAACCTGGAAAGACTTGTATGGTCCGATGCTGAGTGAAGTGAGCAGAACCAAGAGAACATTGTACACAGTAACAGCTAGGCAAAAAGAAAAAGAAAATACTTCCATATGCTCTGTGGTCCTGCCAAATTGGCTTCACCGTTCCTCTCAAATGACACACTCCATCTCGCCTCCATGCCTTGGCACACCTTGTCCAATGTCGTCCTTCGTCACTACCTCTTCAATTGTCCTTCAGTGCTCCACTCAAACACCATGTCAGTCCCCATCTCCATCCCGGCAGCTGGTGCCTCTCCACCAAAATGGTGGGCTCTTTATTTTGTGTGTGTATACGTCATGTCTTCCAGTGAAATGGGAGGTTCTGGGTGACAGACTGTGTCACAAGCACCTGGCACTGCTAGTGTTTTAAAAATGCTCCATTGATACAATTGATGCTGGGCCTTAGTTTCCCTCCCTGTAGAATGAGGTTGTTGAGCTAGATGGCCTCTGAGATCTTGGTCTGTTGCTCCTGTGACCTAGTGGCTGCTGAGGCCAGCACTGTCCACGTCTGGTCTTGGGTCCAGCAACACAGAAGACCCCAAACTTGCAAAGGGCCAGCAGGAAGCCTCAGGAGGGACCATCCTTGCTCCCAAAAGGCTTCCTCACCCCTGATCCTCTTCAAAAACCCAAGTCTGAAATCACAGACCTGACCACAGCCTGACATGACCAGGCTGAGCCTGCCAGGGGCCACCAAGGCCTCGTCCTCACCAATCTCCTTCACGAGCAGCCCAGAAGAGAGTTCAGACATGGAAAGATGCCTGGGCCCTGTGGGCCTCCCATGGGCACAGCATAGTGAAGAGGACTTCTCAGAAGGTCCCAGCTCCTCTGATGACACGCCTTGTGATGCCTTCTGCATCCCTCCCTCCTTGACTGCTGAATTCCAGCCCATCCTTTACAGCCCCATTGAGGCCCATGGAGGGAGAAAGACTTACCCAAGGCACTGCTTTGGCTTTGTATAGAGCTAGAAATTTTAAGGTGTCAAGATTGAAGGAGAGAATTCCAAACATGGGAAATTTGAGCTAGCCACACAGCTAGAAAAGGGAAGAAGCAGGATTTGAACCTGAGTCCTCTGGCTCTAAAGCCAGAGCTGTTATGAGGCTTCCTCCTCTTGTGCATTTATCACCTAATTTGGGGGATCCAAGGTTATGTCTGTCTCATGCCCCTATCATTGTAAACTCATTGAAGACAGCGACCCTGTCAGCTGAATCATGTCTCTTCCAGCCCAGCTCAGCGCTCTGGACACAGTAAATGGTTGAACCAGAGAAAGGGGAACCAGGGATGGTGGGGCTGGGCAGGGACTGGCCCCTTTTGCTCTTAGGAGATCATATCATCAGAGCCCCCTTATTTTACAGATGAGGAAACTGAGGCCCAGAGAGGGTGATTTGCCCAAGGTCATGGTTGGGAAGGGGGGATAATGATGAAAGCAGGTCTATGAGTTCTTGGATGAATGGCACGGCTGCCTGGAACCCCCCTCCCGTAACTTCAGCATTGGGGGTTTCCTTATCCTTACTTGAAGTCAGAACCAGCAGGAACCCTTCCAGTGTCCTGCCCAGAGGGAGGGTCAAAGTTGCAGGGGCAGATTTAGGCTAGATGTAAAGAAAAACTCCCTCCCAGTAAAAGCTGCCCTTCCAAAGTACTCTGGGCAGCCTCAGGAAGTGGTGAGCTCCCCAGCACCAGAGGTCTACGGGCAGAGGCCAGATACCCACTTGTATTTAATGCTGCCGAGGGAATGTTTTCAGGTATGAGTTGGGCTCTGGCTCCTGAGGTCCCTCCCACCCTGAAAATCTAGGATTCTCTGACTGCTTTGGGGGGGAAGGAAAGGGAGGACACTGGGAGACAACTTGAGGGCTGCAGGGCAGGCCAGAGGGGAGAGGAACATGGGTGGTGGCAGAGAAGGAGGAACCACTTTGGGCCAGTCCAGGGGCCTCCAGGTGAAAAAACAAAGGGACCCCAAACAAGGCCAGGCACAGAACAGCTGGGGGTAGTGCCTGCATAGCCTGGGACTTGGGCTGTGCACCATGTCAGGACGTGCCTCCTCTCCCACTCAGGGTGGGACACACACACACACACACACACACACACACACACACACTCTCACACTCACATTCACACACACATGTACTCACATATGCACTCACACGCTCATGTATGCACACATGCACTCACATACATATTCATACACACATATATGCACTCACATATTTCCAATTTGAGTCCAGATCCATTAATCCACGATCAATACAGGGACATACACAATCCATGGGGTATAGGGAGAGATTTCACCCCTGTCCCTAAAGTCAAAGTCAGAGCCAGGAAATGGGAGAGTGGATCTGAGGAGTGGAGAGATTTGTAGGGAGATGGAATGGATGACTGAGGTGGGAATGGGAAGGGATGGGATGGGGCTAGAGATAAGGATTTGGAGTGCAGTGGGCTTGGGGACAGCAAGAAGAGGCAGATGGGAAGGGAGAAGTATAGGAAGAGGGATCTGGGGCTTGGCTAGGGTGGAGGGGAGGGCAGTTTGGTGGATAATATGGTGAAGCATCAGATGTGACCATGGGTTTAGGGATGGGTACACAGCCGGCTTGGCTTGGGAAGGAAGCTGTCATACGGTAGGATTGGGTTGGACTGGTCACAGGGTTGTAGATGAGAGGGGAGAGAGTTAGATGGGGGATGAGTTTGGGGTGGAGGGAGGTTGAGCTGGAGACAGGAACGGGGAGTGTTGGATTCAGTTATTAAAGGGGGAAATGAGGTAGGGATGAGATGAGCTGGGAGAAGACAGGGAGGGGAGAGATGGGGTTGGGAATGGGATGAGGGGGATGGGATGAGATTGAGAAGGTAGTGGGATGGAAGGAGGTGGAGGTGGGATTAGATGGGATAGAGATGGAATAGGGATGAAAATATGGTGAGAACAGGATGGGATTGGGATAGGAAGCAATGGGGAGAGGAGAGGGAAGAGGGTGGGAGGAGATGGGGATGGGGATAATGGGAAGATAGAAATTGGAGGGAGCTGGGATGGGAATTGGGTGAGATGGGGATAGGTCTGGAAACAGGAATAGAGGAGAGAGGGGTGGGGAGAAGAGGATGATGGGAAGGGGAAGGGATGGGCCAGGAGGGCAGAGAGGATAGATGGGAGGACAGCAGGTGGTGTTGGGGATGAGGATAAGGGGAGGTGAGGAGGAGAGGACAGGAGAGGGGAGATCGGATAAGGTTGGTACTGGACTATGGTGAGGACAGGCTAGGCTGAGAGGAGGCAGGAGGAGGTAAGGTGAGACTAGGCTGGGTGAGGGTGGGGCAAGGATGGGGCTCGGGCACTGCCAATGAGGAGGAGGAGATGAGGGGGTCGGGGCTGCCTTGGGCCAGGCCTAAGTGGGCAGCAGCCTGTTGGTCTGGAGTTCAAGCAGGGGCGAAAGCGTGTATCGCAAGCGGCGGAAGGTGTCCTGTGAGCACAGGCGAGGGAGGGCCTCTCGGATGGCGTCGGGGTTGATCAGGTTAAGGTAGAACAGGGGTAGGCTCAGGAACCACAGGGGAAGCAGCAGCCGAAGCCCCAGGATTGCCAGGAGCCTGAGGAGGGGTGGGGCAGAGATCAGGAAACATGACCAGGGCTGGAGGAGGGAGGAGGGAGGGGAGGAAGAGAGAGATGGGAGGAGGGAGGAGGAAAGAGGAGAGAGGAGGAAGGATGCCCTGGGCCGCCCACCCCCAGCCCCCCCTCACCTGAGCCCCGATACATGCCCAGGGCTGTTCAGCCTGTTTTCCTGCCAAAAGAAAGAGAGTGGATTGAGGCCGGGAGGCCGTCGAATGGATCCCGGACTGCAGTGGGCGGATCTAGTTTGGGTCAGCACCCCACCGCTGCCTGGCCTCCCCGTCCAGGCCTCCACCTGGTCATTGGGAGGAAGGCGCTGGACCCAGGGGCCACCAAGGTTTGAGGGGGTGCAGGGTGTGGCCTCCGCGGACCTGGATCCCCGCCGGCCTCCCTTCCTACTCACGTAATTGGCTTCAGCCACCTCCTCCATGAGGGAACCTGGGGTTTTGGCCATGGAGGAAATCTGCCCGGACTTCCTGCCAAGAACAGGACCGGAGTCAGAGGCCGAGCTGGGCCCTGGCTCCTGCCCCTCACCCCCAGCCCCAGCCCCGGCCCGTTCCCCTTCAGGCTCAGGGAACTTACAGATCCATCCCTTCTCGGTCCAGGACCGAGGCCACTTCCATCACCTTGACCTGGAGCTCCTGCCGCCAAGGGGGGAGGGGCATCACTTCACTGCCGCAGAAGGAGCGGGAGGGGGTGGGGGGGGCATCCTGGCCCCGGGCTCTCCGGTGGGGCGGGGACGGGGGCGGGGGCAATTGGAAGACACGGATGGCCGCACCTGAAGGACCCCGCTCTGCTCCTGGAAGCTGGCCCAGGCCTCCTCCTTCTGCATGGTTCCCTAGTAAGAGGGGGGAGGGATGGTTAGAAACCCAGCAGCTGCCCCACTCTGGCTCCCAAAGACACACACGGACCCCCATTGGGAGCCTGAACCCGCCCAATGTACACACACACGCACACACACATACACACTCACACGGACCCCACTGGGAGCCTGAACCCCCCCAATGCACAGACACACACACACACGCACGCACACACAGACACACACACGGACCCCCTTGGGATCCTGAACCCCCACACACACGCGAATGAGCGCACACACACGCACACACATGCTCACACTCACCTTCTGGATCCCCTCCGCCTGGAGGGCGGATCTCGACTCCATGATCTCCAGCTGTTTCTACACAAAGAACAGAAGGGCCGGGTCAGGCACTGCTTGGCCGTGGCCGGAGCCCCGGCGGGGGACCCGTCCCTGCCCCCCGCCCCCCGGCCCCCACCCACCTGTAGGCTCAGCAGCTCCGCCTGCAGGCGTCGGTGCTGCCTCCGCCGACACTGCTGCTCCCCCCCGTAGTAGAAAAGCTGCGGGAAGAGGAGACAAGTGGGGTCCGGAGGAGGCCGAGAGAGCCAGGGAGGGGGTGTCCATGAATCTCAAGCGCTCTCGCGTCGTTCTGGGGGGAGAGGGAGGTGGGGGGGGACTACGTCAGGTCATAATATAGTCCGCACACACCCCATACAGCTGGGGAAACTGAGGCTTAGCGAGGGAGGCACGTGGCTGGGGCCAGGGGGGCCCTCAGAAATCATACGGGCCAGGCCAGAGAGGCCCAGTGACGCGCCCTGGGGCTCGCCGAGAGGACCAAGCTGTCCTTTGCGTGCGGCCCTGGCCCCTGCGCTTCGCCGTCGCTCAAGGCTTTGGCTGTCTTCCTACTCCCTACCCCCCACCCCCAGACCCCGTACCTGACTGGAAAGCTCTTCCCATTCTTCTTGAAGTAACTGGTTCTTCCTCTCCTGAAGAAGAGCCGACGGCCCGAGAGTCAAGGAAAGGGCAGGGTCGGGCTCGAGCCCCCGGCCCCCGGCCCCAGCCCCAGCTCCCCGACCCCTCACCAGGATAAGCTTTTGCTCGGCAGCGCCAGCGGTGAGCTCCAGGATGCGGGCCGCTCGGCTCTTGACCACGTCCTCGGCCTCCCCTCTGAGGGCCCCGGCCGCCTGGTTCAGCCTCCGCTGGAGGCTACGGGAGGCAGGCACTGAGTGTGAGGAGTCTGGGGAACGGCGTTGTGCTGCCTCTCCTCTAAGCCAACCCAACAGGTCTTTATTAAGCACCTACTGTGTACCAGGCTGTACTGGGAGCTGGGGACACGGAGCTAAAATGAAATTGTCCCACCCTCCTTCTGCCTCCACCCCCCTCATTCAACATACGGGCACCTAGGAAGCAGCTCCCGAGTACCAAGCCCTGGACTAGGCCTGGAGGGAGCCGAGCAGAAGAAGCAGCCTCTCCCCCTCTTCCTCCTCCCCTATTCCCCCTTTTCCTCCTCTTTCTCCTGCTCTTCCTCCCCCTCCTCCCCATCCTTCTCCCTCCTGGGTCCCTCAGGCCAGCCCGTTCTGTTGGTGGCTTTGTGCCAGCCTGCATCTATGAGCACACAAGGGCAGACGATCTCCTCTGGCCCGGGGCCTTCTAGGTTGGGGTTCCGGTCAGAGGCGGCAGGTGTGTCCAGGCTGTAGCAGGACTTCTGGGGATGGTCAGAGAACGGGAGAAGAGCTTAGGGAAGTGGCAGAAGTGTCCAGGTCAGAGGAGGAGGCCAGCTATGGATCGGGCCATCTGTCATCTCACTGCATTGCTGGGCAGGGATCCCCACCGACGGAGTCCTCTTGCCAGGCTGCTCTGGGCTCGTTGTCCCTCTGGGGAGGCCTGAGTCCCTTTCCCCCGGAAGGTCTCCCAGTGGAGTTAGGATGACCACTGGTCAGGGACAGTGGAGTGAAGCATGGCTCCTAACCTCAGCCTCAGTTCCTCCATCTATCAAGTGGGGATAACAGCCCCTGTCGTGCCTACCTCAGGATCAAACAGCACAGTGCACTGAAAGTGCTTGGCAGCATTTAAATTGTGTTCCCATTACCCCCCAGGGTGGCCTCGGACGTCCCTCCCCCTGCTGTGACATCTGGTATTCTTGTCTAGGGATAAGAGCCTGGCTCGACTTCAGAAGACCTGACTGAAGGTGCCGAGCCGAGCTCAAGGCTAGGACAGTGGGGACTTGTGGGGCCTTGGACTAGGGCAGCTGGATCATGAGGAAGGGGGAGCCTGGGCTCATCCAGAACAGAGTCTGTCAGTGGTGACCAAGGTGGCGAGGTCTAGAAGGCAGCCTGGTGAGAGGTGTTCAGCCCCGAAGATGCTCGGGAGCTCCCTAGCTGGGATCACGCCAGCCCCTGCACAGTAAGTGGGCTGCAGGAATGGCTGGAAGCCAGCAGGAGCCCCGACTGAGGAGACGACAGCTTGGTGGGAGAGCCCCAGGCCCCGTGTGCCCCGGGCTCTGGCCTTGGCATAGTCCCGTCCAGAACGTTTACCAGGGCTGATGATGCCAGAAAGAGTTGAAGGCCCACATTGCAGATGGCAGAACTGGGATCCAAAAAGGATTTCAACAAGCTGGAATCCAGTAAGATGAAATCAGGGACGGGAACTGTTGCCACCATCTCCTGAGTCACACACCGGAATCTCCCTGGGGAAGAAGTGGGGGCTGGCACCTTCTCTGCATCAGAGAGCCTCATGAGTGAGAGGGCGAGGGATGGGTCAGAGGCAGGATCAGAACCCAGATCCTCCTGGCCCTGGGGCTCCAGCTTTCTGGCTGCTTCTGTATTCTGCTTCTCTTTGGGAAGGTGAAATCTAGTAAGGTCCCTCCATTGATTTGGGGGGGGAATCTATTGCATAATTTCCTACTCCACAGTGTGATCTGGCCATCGAGAAGGCCCCACAAAGCCAGCCACAGTCTTAGCAAAAGAGGGGTGTGCTGCACTCCACAGGGCCCCAGCTGGAGGAGGAGGCTGGTAGATGAGTCTCCAGAGGGGAATCTCAGGATGGGGAGAGGACCGGGGCCCTTCGCAGATGAGGGTCAGTTCAAGGAACTGATTTCACTTAGGCTGGAGAAGGCTTGGGGGGGGGGGAACGGAGGAATGATGGCTGCTTTCAAGTATCTGTAGGGATGCCCTGGGGCAGAAGAATCAGCCAGCGCCTGCCTGGCCTCAGAGGGCAGAGGAAGGGTAGACATCACACGGAGGCGAGTTCCACCAGAAACACTGTCCAACAGCTGGGCCTTCCACAGCTTTCTGATGGCAAACACTGTCTTGTTTTCATCTTGGAATTTCCAGACCTGACATATACTAGACGCTTATTGGATGAAGAATGAATCTTGGAACTCTTACCCTGATTCTCCGCTGAAAACTCTGCCTCCTATTTTACTGAAAAAATGGAGGCCAGCCATTTACGTGAGGCTCCCTGTTCTCCCCTGCTTCTCCTCTCCCACCCCCCAGACACCTTCCTCCCCTCCCTCCTCCTTCGGCCCTACCTCACACAGTGAGGTAGCCCTTCTCCTCAGACACACACCAGCGACCCCACACCGTCTGGTTCCTCCAGCAGACTGACCCAATGCAGCCTCTTTGTCTCATTTGGCTTCAGTCTTTCCCTGTCTACTGGACACCAAGACTGCCCATGTCCCCCTTTCTCAAGAGCCCTCAGCTCACCCACCCAGCCCCACTAACGGCCCCTGTCTGACCCGCCTTGGGTGGCTGAACTCATGAAGGACACTCCATCAGGGGCCTCTATTTCCTCTCCACTTACTGGCTTAGGCTCTCTCCAGTCTGGCATCCAGTGGGACTGCTCTGTCCAGTGAAGGACCTCTCAGTTACCAAGCCCAGTGGCCTTTTATCCCATCCTTGACCTCTGACCTGCAGCCTCCGACCCTGGTCACTCTCTCCTCTTTGAGCTTATCTAGGTTTTCAGGATCTCTCTCTCTTCCTCCCTCCCTCCCTGTTTTTCCCTCTCCCTTTTCTCTCTCTCTTCCTCCCTTCCTCCCTCTCTTTCCCTCTCCCTTCTCTCTCTCTCCCTCCCTCTCCCCCCTCTCCCCCTCCCTCTTCTCTCTCGCTCTTCCTCTTTCCCCCTCCCTTCTCTCCCTCTGTCTTCCTCCCTCCCTCCCTCTTTCCCTCTCCCTCTCTCTCTTCCTCCCTCCCTCTCTCTCTTCCTCCCTCCCTCTCTGTCCTTCCCTCCCTCTCTCTCTCTCCCCCTCTCTCCCCCTCCCTCCCTCTCTTTCTCCCTCCTCTCTCTCTCTCTCTCTGTCTCTCTCTCCCTCTTTCCCTCTCCCTCTCTCTCTTCCTCCCTCCCTCTCTTTCCCTCTCCCTCTCTCTCCTTCCCTCCCTCCCTGTCTCTCTCTCCCCCTCCCTCCCTTCCTCCCTCTCTTTCTCCCTCCTCTCTCTCTGCCTCTCTCTGTCTCTCTCTCTCTGTCTCTCTCTCTCTCTCTCTCTCTCTCTCTCTCTCTCTCTCTTTTCTCTTCTCTTCCACCCACGCATCCCGGTTCTCCTCTCACCTCTGACACTCCTCCTCCTCTGTCTCCTCTTCCAGTTCACACCTTCTCGCTGTAGGTGTCCCTTAGGGCTCAGTCCTGGGCCCCCTTCTCTTCTCCCTCTATACTCACTGGGTGATCTTATCAACTTCCATCGATTTAATGACCATCTCTGTGCTGATGACTGAAATCTACCTTTTCTGCCTCAATCTCTCTACTGACCTCCAACCTCAAATCTCCAACTGTATGTCCAGTAGAAGTCTTAAAACTCAGTATATTCAAGACAGAATACATTCTCTTCTCTCCTAATCCCTCCATCACTCCCACCCTTCCCTACTGCTGTCCAGGGAACCACCCTCCTCCTAGTCCCTCTGTCTCCCAACCCAGGAGTCATCATGCTGGACTCCTGTCTCTCACCCCCCCCCAATATATCCAATATGGTGCCAAGGCCTTTTGATTTCACCTTTGTGACATCTCTCATCAATTTCACCTTTGCACCATCTCTTCAATATTCCCCTCCTCTTCTTTGACAGACATGGCCCCTACCCTATCCAGGCTCTTATCACCTCACACCTGGACTATTGCAATAGCTTCCGGAGGGAGGGGGCAGTCCTGTCTGCCTCCAGTCTCTCCCTTCTCCAGTCCATCCTCTATTCAGGAGCCAAAGTGACTTTTCTGAAGCTCAGGTCTGACCATATCACCCCAGCGGCTCCCTATTGCCCCCAGGGTCAAATACAAATTGCTCTGGCCTTCAAAGTCCTTCGTTGCCTGCCCCGTCCTACCTTCCTGGTCTTCTCCCACCTTCCTCCCCACCACGTACTCTTCCATCCAGGGAGCCCTGGGCTGCGTTCCACGAACAAGACCCTCCCTCTCTCGGCTCTGGGCATCCTCTGTCTGTCCCCCATGCCTGCAATGTTCTCCCTTCTCCAATGCCCACTGACCTCCCTGGCTAGCTAAAAGCCCACCTTGTCCAGGAAGCCCTCTGGGACCCCTCCATCCCAATGTGGATGATTTGCTATTTCTCCTGCCCACTTCTGCCTTATTTAAGATTGTAAGCACCATGAGTGCTTTGGTCTTTTTTGTACCCCAAGCTCTTGGCACAGCGCCTGGAATACAGTAGGTGCTTAATAAATGTTTATTCCCTAAGGAGAGGGACTGTGCTTTTTCCTTGTATTCCACCAGAGCCTAGCATGGAGTAAGCCCTGGATAAATACTCCTTAATTGACTGAGGGAGACTGGATCCTCATTCTTCTTCATTTCCCCAGTGCCAAACATGCAGCAGGTGCTTAATAAACGTTTAGCAAATATTCCCTCAAGTGCCCATTCCCCATACTTATTAATTCAATTTCTCTTTCAGCTTCCCTCTTCTGCACACGCACCTCCAAACTTCTTGGGGTCTGGGCTGGAGATATTTCTAGCAATGCCCATGATGTAAAAATGAAACGCCTCAATATGATTTACAAAATTTTAAAAATCAAAGCAAAAACGGGGACTCAGTTTACCTGGATGAATAATGAAAGAGTCCACACCAGAGGGTCTCTCAGGCTCCTCCCTGGCTCTAGAACTCTGGGATTCTATTAATGCTCCCGTGGCCTTAGGAAGCCCCTTCCCCTCTCCAAGCCTGTTTCCTTCCCTGTTAAATGAGGGGCCTGACGCCCCTCCCGGCCCCTCTCTGGGGAGGCTCCTCCATCTGCCGTCCCCCCAACCTCCTCGCAGCTCCTGCCTCCACAGGCCTCCTGGGGTGGGGGAGGGGAGGCTCACCTGCGCTCCCGCTCCCTCAAGCTCCTCAGTGTCAGAACCAGGCTATCGCTTTCTGTCTCCAAGATCCTCATCAGCTCCTCCAGCTCCTGCTTCCTCAGCCGTCCATCTCTGTTGTCTTTCTGAAGCTGGAGCAGAATTTCTTCAGCTTCTGCCATGTGTCTGCCCGGCCAGATCCCCTCCTAACCGAGCCTGGCCCAGTCCGGCCCTGACCAAGCCCTCGGTGCCCAGGACAAGCTCTGCCCTGGACCCATTCTGAGGGGTCATCAGGTGTCACAATGGCCTGGGCCCCACCCCAGCCTCCTTCCAGTGCACAGGTCGTGGCACACAGTAGGCACTTAATAAAGGCCTTATTGACTTCTCTCCAGAGCTCAGTCCAGGACCCACATCAACTTCCCTCCCTCTTTACCCCTTATGTAACCTTTGGGTCCTTCGCACCCCCTGCTCAGTTTTCCCAGTCAATCTCCCTCTACCAGCATTTGACTCCATGGTCCAAAGTCCTAGGAGCCTCCTCACCACCACCCGTCCCTCCCTTGCTGCCCTTTTCCTGGTTTACACTCACCACTCCTAGTAAACCCCATGGAGCTTTTCTGCAATCCTGGAGTCCAGGTGGATTCACACATAATAAACGTATGAACCCAAGTCAGACTTGGCCTGGGTTCCAAGTCTAGCCTTGACACAAAAGTAGCTGCGCGTCCCTGGGCACAGCCCTTAACCACTCAATGCCCTGGAGATGTTACTGATCTGCACACTGGTACACAGGGCACCCCCAAACCAGAGGGGTCAAATCCACAGCCCTGGCCTCCACACTCCCTCCCAGCCAGACTTACTGGTTTTAAATATTAGAACATGGATGACATGAATATGGGGTTTGCCAAGTCAACGAGGGCTGGTTCGGTGCTTCCCATTTCCATATGATGGCCTGGACATCACAGGCCCAGTCCCCAGCCAGGCCGTCCTGCTTTGAAGACTCTCTCTCCCAGAGCAAACGCTTCACCTTTTCCTCTCTGACTTGGTCTCTGATGTCACATTTCCCAGACTTCTGGTGGCAGTTTAGCTTCTTTATATATCATCGACTACCCCTCCCCTACTATGCAGCTTCTGTTAAGCTCCTGACCCTACAGACAGGACTGGATGAAGGGACTGGCTCCGAATCCAGAGGCGGGGTCAGAGGAGGCAGGCCCAGAGAGGTTGGGACTTGCCCAAAGGGTGGAGCCTTGGTGTCCTCATCTGTAAAATCAGTATGATCATACTGGTAAGCACCTGCTTCACAGTCTGTTTACCCAATCTGGGAAAATACCTAAAGTTCAGAGGAACGGATGGAGGTCTTAATTGGGACCCACAAAGTTTTCGACAGAGAGCTGACAGACCCAAACTAAGGTAGTGAAACGTCATGAGGACAAATATAAATTCCTTTCCGTAGGTCCAAAACATCAATGACACAAGAAACCAAGTGGGTGGTGCCATGTGGCAAACCTTCACGAGAAGCAACTGTTTGTTCAATCTGCCCGTTCGGGACCTCGGGCTGCTTTCCTGGATGTAGAAAAAGCAGGTTTCGGGGAGACCTTGACTCTGCTTCTTCAGGTCCCCCCACATCAGCTCGGGTCTGGCCACGTTGCAGGAAGGGTGCTGAGAAGCTGGCACTTGTCTAGAGGAAGATCCTACTAGGTGCCAGCAGAGGGTCGGTGGATGAACTGGGGATGTTCACCTAGTTCAGGGAAGACAAGGGTCAAGGTGGGAGGGTTCTGTCGAATGGAGAACTAGACTTACTTGGCCCTCGTAGGGCAGAACCAAAGGCACTGACTGGAAGTCTCCAAAGGACAAGTTTAAGTTTAATGTCAGGAATAACTTCCCAAGTCAGTTGGCCAAGAGGCAGAAGGTTGGAGGGGTCCCCCAGATTCAGGGCCGTCTTTGAGACTCTCCTGCATGGAGGAGACAGAACCCTAACATGGTAGCTTGGTACTGAGGGAGGTGCAGAGTCTGCTTTTCCTGCCTCATCTCCCACTTGTTTCATGGATAATGTGGCCCGGCCAAATTTATCATCCCCAGGCTTTGTCTGCCCTCCCCCACACCTCCCCTTCCCCCCTTTGCTCCAGCTGTTCCTGTGACTGGAATGTCCCCCTCCCACGTTTACACCTGTTGAGATCATTCTCATTCCTCCAAAGACCCAGATCCAATGGCACCCCCTCCATAAAACATTTCCCAGGGGCTCCTGGGGCTGAGCCTCTTTCCTAGGGCCTCACATAGCTCTCGATTGGTGTCTCCCCTAGGTACAATTTGCTGACAGTAAGTTTGTGAACACTTTCCATCTGGACCTGGGTATACATCCTTCCCAGTGCCCACCTCAGGGAAGGGCACGGCACAAATAGGCAAAAAAGTCGGGGGGGGGGGATGGTTTTGCAGATCTGGCTGCAAGTTTCTGGACTATGGCTTTAAGGCAAGGAATGAATGGTCTTCTTTCCAGGGCCAGAGGGCACATAATGAAGGGAAGTGAGTTGGAAGCATGCAGGGGCAGGAGACCTTCAAGAAGGCTTACAATTGACAATGAAGGGGGTGGGGGTTAGGAGAAAAGAAGATGCTGCTCAATCAGAGCTCAGAGACCACAAAGATAAAGGATTCCCAGAGGCAATGGTGTGCAGGCAGTACAGAAAGAATACCCATGGTCTCCAGTGTCTGTACGAAAAACGAAGGGATTTTGAGGTCTCAGGATCACAGACCGACAGGAGATTCAGCCTTACTTAGTGATTTTAGTTTGACCCTCTCACTTTGAAACGGATCCTGAGAAGTGACTCCTCCACGGGGTCTCTAGACATTGCAGGACAAGGTTAACTTCTGTGGTTCCATTCTGAAAAGCCAGATAGAGCCCGGCAGCCTGATGCTCCATGGTGACAGCATACACTAACCTCTCTGCATCGCCTCTCTGTTCAAGTGGCGGCCAACACTTCCTCCTCAACGGGTAATGTACCGTTTCCAAAGGCTGTTAACTCGGGGCAAATCACTTCTTCCTACTGGCTCACGTCAGATAATAGTGGCACAAGAGAGACCTTCAAAAGCACCGAACTATGAAAACAAAATCAAGGCAGGTGGGGATGGAGGCAGGCCAAAGGAAGCCCTCCACGGGGCCAGCTGGGGAATGAAAGCCAGCGGGACAGGGTAAGGCTCAAGCCCCCTCATCTGCAGAACAAGGCAGGGCCAGCTCCCTTTGCAGGAAGGGAAGGGCCTTTTGTTCTTTGCCCGGCTTTACCCAAAGGTCGAATGAACTTGGAACAGAAGCCGCGAAGGACACAGGTTCATTTTCAACCAAGCTTTTAATGAAAAGATCATAAAATAGCAGTTTCTCATTACTGTACATTAAGACTGCACACTTCTGAATGGAGATCAGACTTTCTGAATTTCTCTTATGACACTTGGGAGCCACAGGTTCCAGTGGCTCTGACCTGAATTCCAAAATCTGGAGGGAAATGGGCTGAGTGATGCCAAGGGCAGTGGCTGGTACAGGAGTGCAGTCCTGGGAGCCCTCCTAGCCCTCCCAGGAAACAGGAGATCCCTCTTCCAGTTTGACTTAAATAAAACAGCTATAACCCTACCCACACCCTCCCACCCCCAAGACGAGGTATTTGCAAAATGGGTCAGTCCCCAGCCTGAGGCCCCAAGGGCTCAAATACTGAGTAGTCGGGGAGGGACATGGGAGGTTCCCCTCAGCACCTGGCCCCCTGAGGCCCCACTATGTGTCTGTGGGGAGAGCCCTGGAGAATCCCCCTTGCCCCGAGCTCCTGATGCAGCATTTCTGAGGTCAATAAATTACAGCAATAAATAGTGGGGCTGGGGGGGAGGGGGCTCCTGGTGAAAAAGTGAAGGCAGGAACTACTAGGGAGGAGGAAAGCCATTCCCCCCCACTGGCAAGGATGAGGCTGGAGGGGGTCCTGATGGCATTCCCAGTCCTCTTTCTCCTCCCCCTCCCCTCCATGGAATGTCAGATTGAGGCTCTGGCTGTGTCCATCCCCACTCCCTGGCTCCTGGAATCAGGAGCCATGAATTTTTAGCCTGAAAATTCCTGCCCCCAGCACACGATTCTAAGATGCTGTTGAGGCCCTTGGTCTCAGATGGAGGGCAAAGGAATGCTCCGGGGGGCCCCCCCGTCTGTCCCTCCACTGCCCTCTCTTTGGCCACCAGGAGAGGTGCACTGCTCAGGAATCTTATTGCTGACACAGGGCGCGTGCAGGTGCGCGCGCGTGCGTGCGTGTGTGTGAGTGTGTGTGTGAGACAATGGATGGACGGACATACTGCACCCGACTCCCTCCAGCCCAGCCTGCACTCCTGCACCAAAGTAGCAAATACTGACAAGCCACAATCAATGGTAGAAGTTGCGCGGCCACTGTGGACAGACCCAGTGAGACAAAGCCTCGTCCGCACGGCCACACAGGGCCGGTCCCCGGCTCATGGCACATGGCTACGCTGCTCCAAGTCTCTGAGGTTCTGTTCTTGCCTTTACATTTGTCTCTAGTGTTGTTTTTTGCAATCCGGGAGGAGCTGCTCCTGCAGCCCGAGCTGGCCAGTGTAAGCGGCCAGTGTGCCCGAGTCTGAGAAATAAATACATTCATCACTGCACATAGAGATTGATACAAAAAGAACACTGTGAAAGAGTGTCTGCACCATCTTTGAGAAGGGCCAGGAGCCGGCGCAGCCCAGACCCACCCACACAAGCTCCACTCTTTGGCGAAGGGGGGGGCTGGCACCCTAGGCAGCCCCCCCACCTGATATTGGTCCTCCCTGGGGCCCCCATCCCTGTGCCAAGCCCAAACTTGGGATCCTGCGGCCAATCTCGGCCAGCCGGCCAGGACTGGTCAAGGCTCTTTGGTGCCGTCGGGGGTTGGAGCTGCCCAGAGGGTCTCATGCCACCCCAGCACGCTAAGACTCCTGTGAGCTGCTGGGAGCATAAGGCAAATCCCCCGGGGCCGGGGGCTGTGAGTGGAAAAACTGGGATGCATTGGGACTGGTCCTTCCATCTGCTGAGGTCTGAAACTGTACAAGTTTATGTAAACAATGAGAGAAATAGATTCGTATCTTTCGTGAGCCAAGTGAGGTTCCATACTCATTTACATGTGCTTTGGTTTAAAAACAGGTTTGTGATTTTGGGTATGAGCTTCTCTCCCTTCTCCTCTCCCCCCAAGCCTGCTGTCTGTGTTCCTATCTCCTGTTTCTCTGAAGACCTTCGGGAGCGAGCCAGGCCGAGAGTCCCCCAGTCGCCCCGCACTCCTCTCTGCTCGTGCCCCCTGCGCTCCCCATGAGGCTCATCATCTCCACGCGCACACGCACACCAGCACTCGCTCGCGCACACACACCATGACATGAAGTTACAAAACAAACCAACAGAAAAGTGTTTGCCCCCCACCCCCACCCTTAAAATCTTAAATATGAAACTAGTGTTTTGTTTTCTCATTTAAAATACAGAAAATGTTCCGATACAACACTAAGGTTGGATACAATACTAGGTCGTACAAATGTCATTGAGTGTCGGGGGCATGTGCTCCCGTCCCTGAAGTTCGGAGGCTCAGTCGCCCGCTGCTTGTCCCCATTCCTCTGCATCAGGCCGGCGCCACGAGGGAGGAGACGCTCCCGCCGGGCTCGCCGCTGCGCGCGCGGTCCCGCACCATCCTCGGCAGTACAGACTTTGTGTCGTGTGGTTAAGTGCTGAAGGAGTGGCCCGGTGGAGGGGGAGAAGGACAGGGGACCCTCCACTCCCCCAAGCTCAGGCTCAGTTTCAGCTGAAGGTTCGTTCTCAAAAGGGAGGAGGGGGCAAAGACTCAAGGACTATTTGGTCTGAACTTAAAAAAAAAAAAGAATTTATAAAACAACAACAGACAAATTAGAAAGAGAGCCTGGGAGAAGAGGGCACTCCTGCCCCAGCTCCGGCCACCAGGCCTTGTCCCTTTCAAGGGGAGGCTACGGGGCGTGCTCTGCGAATGTCCATCCCCACCCCTGGGAAGACTTGGAAACACTTTGGTTTGGATCAGGCGTCCGAGGCCCTGCCCCCCCCCCCGTTGCGGGCCCCAGGTCTTGTCCAGATGTGCAGGGAAAGGGGAAGGCCGAGGAGGGGGCCCTGGCCTCCAGCTGAACTCCACTCAGCACCCCGACACGCGCACACTCACGCATGCACCTGCACACATGCTCCACTCTCTGACCGAAGGCTGCTCGAGGTCACACACGGTAAGCCCACGGACAAACGGCTGTCAGATCATGCCCACGAGGCTCCCTGAGACACAGTCCGGCACACACACGCCCCACTCCAAACGCTCCTCCCCGATGTCTTTGGCCAAGCTCTGCCCTCAGTCCTGAGGGGCCTGGGGGGGAGGGAGGAGTGCCCCCCAGCTCTACAGGGCAGGAGGGACGACCAAAGAACCCCAGTCTCAGTCTCATGGGCCACTCACCGTCTTATTGTTCTTATGAATTTAAGAGGTAGAAAAAAATCAGAAGTCTCGGATCAGACTCCCTTGTTCAGTGAGGAAAGAATCGAACCATCTGTGCACGCACACGCACACACACAAACGCACCAACATGCCAACACCCACCCACAAAATAAAAAGTACCTGCAAACACATAACCCAGGTCAGCCCCCTGCCTCCCACCACCCAGACCCTCCAGGCAAGCAGACCCTGGGCTGTCTCCACAAAACAAGTACCTCTAAGCAAAGAAAGTCACAGAACATACAGGTAGCCAGGCTGGGTGCAGGGGGAGCGCCTGGGAGTCCGAGGGGCCCCCCAGGTTAGGGCTCCACACTGGTGGGGGGAGGGGAGTGGAGGCCAGCTGCCCCGCTTACATTCAGGCCCCGGTCCCAAGGAAGCAGGGCAGGGGCGGCGGGAAACAAGAGATCGAAGCTGAGTTTAAAGAAAAAAATAATAAATCAAAACCAACCAACAGTATGGGGAAGAGGGATGGGAAGAAAACAAGTGACTGGGGTAACCCTGACTGCCTGGGGGGAGGGGAGAGCAGCCCCCCCCCAGCATCTGTTCCACATACACGCACACGCGCACACATTCACACACGGATGCACGCATCCCCCCCCCCATGAGGGATCCGGGCTCGGGAAGAAGGCTCAGCTGTGCCCTGAGGAGAGCAGGCTGAGCCCAAGCCAGAAGCCGGCCTCCCCACCCCCCCCATTCCCGCTGGTTCTGGAGCATTGGGAGGGGTAGGGGAGGGGGACGCCCCTCGGGAGAGGGGTGGAGGTAGACCGAATGCCAAAGCAGCAGAGGGAGCAGGGAGGGAGCAGGGCGGCGCAGGCGGGCCAGGCTCCCTCTGCTTCTCTCGGTATGCACTGGCAGTTAAAGCTGGGGGGGCGGGGCGCCGGCCCGGGGGGCGGGGCCTCTTTGGCTCCTAGGAGGGGGAGGTGTGCATGCGCAGGTGGCTGATGAGGTTGCGCTGCTGCGTGAACTTGCCGCCGCACAGGTGGCACTCGTAGGGCTTCTCGCCCGAGTGCACGCGCATGTGCTCCGTCAGGCGGTACTGGCGCGTGAAGCGCATGCCGCACTCCTCGCACGCGAAGGGCTTGAGGCCCAGGTGGCTGCGCATGTGGCGGGTCATGGTGCCGCGCTGGGTGAACATCTTGCCGCAGATGTTGCAGGGGAAGGGCCGCGTCAGCCAGTGCGTCTTCTCGTGCTGCCGCAGCGTGGCCGGGTCCTTGTAGCTCTTCTCGCAGCCCGAGCACTTGAAGGGCCGCTGCTCGGCCGCGTAGGCCGGGCTGGGGGCCGACAGGTCCTCGGCCTCCTCCTCGGGCGCGGGGCCGCCGCCCCCATAGGCGCCCTCCTCCTTGATGAAGAGCTCCTCCTCCGTGTGCGTCTCCACGTGGGCGTTGAGCTGCTCCGAGCTGGGGAAGCCTTTACCGCAGGGGATGCAGACGTACAGGTTGTCCCCATAGGGCACCGCTTCGAAGCCCTCCTGGCGGTACACGTAGTTGGCGGCCCCCGCGGGGCCCCCGGCGCCCTCGCCCTCGCTCTGCCCGCTGTCCTCGCTGAGCTCCTTGCCGTTCTCCATCTCCTCCTTGCAGGGGTAGGGCGGCTCTCCGTAGGGCGCCCCAACGCCGCCTCCGCCGGCCCCCAGGATGCCGTTGGGGAGCCCCTCCTCCAGCTCATCCTCGTCCCCGGGGCAGCAGCTCTTGCCTCCCGCCGAGGCGCAGGCCACGGCCTCTGTCTTGCTCCACTCCTTCTTCCGAGCCAGGTGCCGCAGACTCTTGCGAGGCTGGCCCCCCGGCCCCTCCAGCAGCCCCGAGTGGTTTTCCTCGGGGCCCCCCGGCCCCTCCACCTCCATGGGGTCTTCCGGGGGCCCGCCGGGCTCCGCGTACGAGGCACTGTTGGTGGAGGCTGGAGCCGGGGAGCCGTGCTGGCTGTCGCTGAGCTGGCCGAGGTCATCAGGGCCGAGGAGGGGGCCGGGGGCCGGGGGCTGTAAGGGGGGACTCTTCTTGGAGAGGTCGAGGCCCAGCTCCTGCTCACTGCCACCACTGTTCCCGCTAGAGCCCCCGCAGCTGGCCCCATCGCCACCATTCTTGCAGCCCATTCGGCTCAGGGGATGCGAGTTCTCCTGCCCGGGCCCCCCGAGAAAAAGCTCGTCGTCCGAGCCCTTGGACTGGGGGAGCTCTTTGGGAGGATGCACAGCCTTGCGATTCTCTGAGGCCGCTGGGTACCGAGCCTGGATGACCGAGGCGGCGGACAGCCGCTGGCCGCGGGCCGGCCGGCCCGCCCCCGGGACCCCAGCCCGGCCCGAGCCGAAGGGTTTCCCTGCCCGCTTGAGCTTCCGGCGGCACAGAGCGGCCAGCTCAGGGAGCTGGAGGTAGCTAGCGGCAGTGAGGAGCGTGCTGAAGTTGGGCTCCGCGGGCTGCTCCCCCGGGAGCACCTTGCCCGTGTAGATGAAATCCAGGACCTGGCGGAAAACCGTGGGACTGACCATGTCCGTATCCAGGTGGATGAGGTTGTCGTGCAGAACGAGAGACTTGAAATACATGCTGCTGGCGGCCAGGACGTTCTTGTGGGCGCGGAAGAGAGCGTTTTCCACCACGATGATGACGTCGCAGAGGAAGCCTTTGGCCCGCTGCTGGTTCAGCTGCAGAAGCAGCTGCTTGGCATGGTTGGGCAGCTCCATGGCAGCAGGCCCCGTGTCCCAGCCAACAACCTGCAGGAGAAGGGGAGACCAGGGGCGCAGGGTCAGGCCCGGCCCGCCAGAGCCCCAGGGACAGCCAGAAGTGATGCCCGAGCAGCCCTGCCTCCTCCCTCCTGGGATCCCCTAGCCCCTCCAGTCCATGCCCCCCCCACACACCTCCCTCCATCTTAAACAAAGTCCCCCCCCACTTCAGAAACACAATCACAGCCCTTCACAACCCTTCCCAAACACACCCCAACACACCCCTTGCCCTGCCCCAACACATCCCCCTAGACACAGCCCCAACACACCCACTGTACTGTGTGCCCTCCTCACACATCCTCCTTGCCAAGGGAGCGATAAGCCAACCTTCCTGTGCCTCAGAGACATCTAGAGAGGTGCCCCCCACCCCACCCCTGGCACACCCTCTTTCTTGAATGCCAATAGCAGGGACAGTGAAGGGCAGCTTTCCACTCCTGTGGGATGCAGGGACAAACACTGAGGCCAGGGCCCTGCGCCTGCTTCCCGGGCTGGCCTGAGCATAGGCACTGCCAGGGCCCAAGGGCCCTCTGCCAAACATGTAATGCTTCTTGCCCTCAGGTCCCTTTCTAGGAAAAGCGGCTGCAGCTTGGCTGTGGGGAAAAGCAGGCCCGCCCAGCCTTGCCAGACAGGCGGGCACAGACTAATTGATGCCATTAAGTAATAAAAGCACCAACACCTTTGGTTTCTAAAGGCGTCCTAGGCCTTACAAAGTCGGGCAGGGGAAGCTAGCTGAGGGGCAGGATCGTGATGGAGAGAGGAGGACACCTTTGTTCTTTACCCCAGGCGCATCCAGGCCCTTCCAAGGAGAGGAACCATCCCAAGAGCCCAGAAGCCAGGCCGAGGCCTCAGAGGCTGCTGGGCAGAGCCATCAGTGGGCCCAGCCCATTCCCCTTTCCTCTGTGGGACTAGGAGAAGGCTGAACTCGATGGGCTTTCCATGGTCCTTGTAGCTCTGGCATTCTGGGCTTTGTGAAAGACAGCCAAGTGGGCGGCCCAACCCACACCCTCCAAAGAGTTCCAGAGGGCAGGACCAGCCTGGTGGGGCAGAAAGGACAAGCTGGTCCCCCCCCCCGCCCCCCCACTCAAGGGCAGCTCCTGTCCTCTGCCCTCAGAACACAAGGGAAGAAGGACAGGTAGGGGAGAGCAGGCCAACACCACCTCTGAAGGAATGCCCTCCCCAAAGAAGCTGTATGCACAGACTCCTGGTGGCTCTGGGGCTTTCCCACCTCCAGGCCTTTGCTCTGGCTAACTTCGTTTCCCCACCCCAGATAGTTCTCTCTCTTTCCTGAACTCCCCAGAAGGAAGAAGCTTTCATCTTGCACTGGCCAGGGTGAATCTGAGCATTCCTTCCCATGGCCAGTTAACTGATCTTAGAGTGGGATCCCCTTAGGCCCTGGCTCAATGGCCATGGCCATTGGGGGGGGAAATGACCCATCCACTCCACTGGCCACATCCTCTGCCCTATCAACTCAGAAGACTATGGGATACTATGCCTATGCCCAATTTTAGGAAAGGCTCTGACGAGTGGGGAAATCAAGGCAGAGAAGACTGGCCAGAGGAATAGAGGGAGCTTAGATTTGCTCTGCTTGGCCCCAGAAGGCACAGGAGGGAGCATGGGAAGGCAGTGGAAGCACATTTCATCTTCCCAGAACATAAGAAGGAATTACCAATGACTTGCTTTGATGCCCCTCTGCCACCCCTCTCTGCTGATGGCTGGGATCTCTCCACCCTGCTTCAAGGGAGCCACTGTGCTCAGAACAGGGCCCTTTGCTGGCTGGCACATCCTCAGAACCTGCCACAGTCTGTGCTCCAGGGACACCTGGGGTTGGCCAAGTGAGCCTCCCATCTCCAGGGGTCTCCAGAGAGTGGAAGATGAGATCACCCTAAAGGTACTAAGCCTGAGGGGCTTCCCTGCTGCTCCCAAGGTGCCCCTAGCATTTCTGCATGGTTCAGGTAAGGGCAGCTGCTCGACCAGGACCCAGGCCAGGTAAGTGTGTGAGTGCCTGTGACCCTGTTGTTTTCCCCTCATTTCTCATGTCAGGAAAGAGCCCCACATGCCACAGTCCTGAGAGCTGTCACCAGACTCGCTGACTCTACCCAGGGAGGCGGGGAGGGGCAGGGGTCAGAGGGTGGCATACTGCCTGGGCCAGGCCTTCCTGGGGGTTTATGTCTATATCATGGGCAGAAAGAAGCTGGATCTTCTCCTGGGCCCGAGAAATGAATCTTCCTGGCCTTGGAGCCCGCTAGCATACTGTGCCGCATGGGCAGAGGTGTGGCCTGGCCTGGCCCTCAGAGCTGCCGACTCAAGAGTTTCCCTGCTAAGCTTCACAGAAAAGTGGGTCTGGAGGAACGGCTCAGACACAGCAGCCAGGACTGGAGCAAACCTCAAAGCCTTTACATGCTAAGCCCAGAGTCCGGCAAACAGCCGCCATCGCAGAGTAGCCTAGGCCTCTGTAATGCTATCTCACCTGAGCCCAGGGTGGCTCAGCCCCTCCTACTGGGCCCCAGGCCCCACCATCCTGCCAGCAGGTACGTGATGCCCTTAGGGTCTACCTCCTCTCTAGCACCGAGATAGTCATACAGTGGCAAGGGCAAGGAGCTGTGTGACCATAAGAAAGCTGCGAACTAAGCCTCCATTTCCTCATCTATAAAATGGGCAGAAGAGCACATGTACTCCCCAGAGGCATTAGAGCTGGCCAGAGGCTTTAGGGGGAGGCCTTCAGCTCCCAGACCACACTCTAGACGACAGTCACAAGCAAGTAAGCACCATGGGGCCAGTCCCCAGCCCAGCTTCCACCAACCAGGGCCCAGCCTACCGAAAGCTTGGGGCTCAGAAACCATGCGAGCGAGCAGCGGCCGCCTGCAGAGTGCGGTCTCTCAGCAGAAACAGCAAAGCCTGGTTACCTGAGGAAAAGGAAAGGACAGGGTCACTCAGCCACTCAGTACATGGGGAAGCAGAGAGGCACAGGAGGGAAAGCTCAGAGGAAGTTAAGCTGGGGCTCAGGAGCCTCGTGGGGAGCTTGGGGCAGAGCTAGAAGTGGAGGGCAGCCTGGAAGACCAGCCCCAGGGTCACTCTAGCAAACACCAGCTGAGCACAGATAGCACGTGCTTCACAGGCCACAAAGGACTCTCCCTGGCACATGTACTGCTTGCACCCAGGTCTCCAAACACCAAATCTGGGGCTATTCCTTCTCCAAGAAAGGGGGAGGAGGGTCCCCAGCACACTGTCCAACTGCCAGCTAAAGCCTGGGAACCCTGGCTCCCTGTGGGAGCCAACAGCTTCATGGCTAGGCTGGCTGGGCTCCCCAGGGGGGAGGCTGGGCCCAGCTGCATCTGTATAACAAAAGGCAAATGGGTGCTTGGCAAGACCCAGCCCCTCCCCCAGCCAGCCCCTCCCACCCGGCTCCTCTGGGCTGGGCAGCCTTCCCCTCTAACCCATTCTACTGGGCTCCTAGACCCTCCAGGCTTGGAAGCGGTCCTGCCCCCCACCCCCCCACATCGGGTCACCAAGGGAGGGGAGGCTGCAGCCCTGCCCTGGATCTGACTCTGGCCTCCTTGGTCCTGCCCCTCCCCCCAGGCCCTCAGGAATGTGACCAGACCCGGGGTGCCTGGGGCCAGGGAGGCCTAGGCCCCAGCCTGCCAGCTGTTCCAGTGGCCTGGGAGCAGAAGGCAGCCACTCCCCTCCCCCAACAGGCCCCAGATCCTAGGGAAGGCCAGACAGACCAGCTCTGTGGGTTCAAAGGCCCCGAGGACTTCCTGCTGGTCAACTGTGGCCCTGGCCAGCACCCCACACAGCCCCTGCCTAGGAGAGCTTAAGATCACTGAAGGAGTCCAAAAAAAAAATTATGGTCTAAGCTGTCTCCACTCACTCTCAAGGGTCTAATGCCAAGTGTGAGCTAGGCATCGACCAAGGAATGCCATGGCTAGAGACCTCAGGCTAGTCACTGGGAGTCAGTGGGGCGACCGGAAAGAGCCCTGCATTTAGGCTGGGAAGAGCTCGGTTCGAATCCTGACTCTGCTGCCAATGCGGACACGGATGGGAGCTTTGGTGAGATGTGCCCAGGGAAATCTTCCTGATGGGCAGGGCTAGCTCAGGTTCTCATTCCGCATCCCTGGGTCTTCCTTGATTAACACAGCGTACCCCCTCATCCCCATCAGGTTCCTTCCACCCCCCTTCATACACGGAGAGTCCCATACCAAGAACCCTTACTCTCTGGGGCAAAGCTGGCTCTGTTAATGTTTGTGGGAGTGGCACTCCCCCCATCCTGCCGTGTGGGCTCTTCACTGTTTCCTCCTGCACCTGCCAGGAAGGTCACCAAGTTCCCTCCCAAATTCTCACTGTCCTGTGGACACCCTCTGCTCCCCACCACAGAAATGATGGCTAGAGCTCTCAGAATGTGGCTGCAGTGTGATCTGGAGGCATCGTGGAGAGGGGGAAGGAGAGAGAGCAGGTTTGGAGGCTGGGCTGAGTTCATCATTTTCTGTTCAAAGGAAGGCCATCCTAGCCCTCTCTGTTCCCGGGTAATTCTTCCTTCAGGCTCTGCACACGTCTCTGCTCCCACCCCCTCCAAACAAGGTGGCCTGGTGGCTAAAGGGCTGGGCCTACAGTCAGGATGACACGAGTTTACTACTAGCTATGTGACCTTGGTCAAGTCACTTGAACCTGTCTGCCTTGATTTGTTCATCTGTAAAATCAGAACAATAGCCCTGTTGTAAAGACTAAATGAGATAAATTCTAAAGCACTTGAGCACAGTGCCTGGCACTACATAAATATTAGCTATTATTATTATTACCTCTGACAAGCCCCCCAGACCCCAGTCTATCCAACACACCTCAGACAAAGTAATTTTCCAAAAGCACCGATCTGGCCACATCACTCCTACTCCCAAAACATCAGTGGCTCCCCATGACCAGCTATATTCAGCCTGGCATTCAGGGTCCACCCCACCTATTCAGCCTTATCTCCAGATATCCTTAGCTATTCTCTTTGTCCTTGGGAATCTTCTTTCTCAAGCTTCTCCCTGACTAGCCTGGAGCAGCCAGCCCCACCCTCATCCAGCTCAGCCAGCCCAGAGAACTCTCAGCAGGCACAGACCTTTCCACAGATAATAAATACCTCCATTTTACAGGCAAGGAGAGTGAGACTGGGGAGAGGGCCATGGCTAGAATTCGAGGCCAGGCCTTCTAACCCTGCTGGGTCCAGAGAAGCCTTTCTAGATTATGCATGGGGTGGTGCTGACAGGTGAGCCAAGACATGACCGGGATGCCTGGGATCCTGGAGCGGATGAACAGCCAAGGGCCTCAGTGGGAAAACCACAAGCATCCAGGCCAGTCCGGGCCACTCAGAGATGGTTCTGCAGGAGGTATTTGTACTTAGGCCCCTTCTCAGAGGGCCCAAAACAAGTCAACCCCACCCCTCTTCAGGCCGACCACCTCCCCTCCCACACCTAGAGGACACCCAGCTCTGGCTGGTGCCCCTTGTCTTGCCCTCCCCCACTATTCTTCTCTTCTCATTTGGCCTAAAACGTGGTGCCAGCACCAGGGCCGTGCTTCTGCCTCACTGTCTGCCCACTCAGAACGCTGGGCTGCAACAAGACTTCTCCTCAACAGGATAGCCCGACTCCTGGAGGGGACAGCCCCATTTTCTCAAGCTTCTATAGCCCTCCCAGAGCAGGGTAAACAGGAGCACGCACTACAGAACACTTGGAGATTATGGACGACATTAAATACAGGGCAGAGGCACCACCCCTGCTGCACACCCCGAGACTTAGCGGCAGCCAGCCTGAAATTGTGTCGGCCATGTTTGAGTGTAAGGTGCCAGGCTTAGTGGGCACCAAAGGCTCCTGGGGCATTTCCAATATACAGGACTATGTCACACACAGCACAGCTCCAACCCTGCCCTTAAGAAACCCTTAAAATGTTTTCCCATTTTAAAAAGCAAAGTGAGGACAGTGGTGTATTCTCACCCCCACCCCACCTCCTAACATCTGGCCTAGCCCCATGGGGAAGGACCCAGCTGAGCTGGGATGGGGTCTCTCCAGGGGCTGGCATACCAGCTGAATATTGTCAAGTCTGACTGGAGCTGATTCCAGGCAGGGAAGACAAACCACCCTGTGCCCACTCCTGACCACACAGCAACATGGAGTTCCTGCAGGGGCAACCCCAGGGCTGGCAGCAGGCCCAGATGACGCTATCACTGAAGGATCTCACGCTCCCTCCCAGATTCTCCTGGCACACACCCAAGGATACCAAGGACCCAGAGTAGCCAGGGTCTGCTAGCCAGGTTGGAGAAAAGCTGGCAGGATGTGTGCCAAGGTGGCACCTGAAACCAGACGCACACACTACCCCCACCCCCAGTAAACTGAAGAAGGTGGTGGCAAAAACCGTGAACCAGATGCAGCAGGAGATCCAGGGAGAAATATGAATTCTTCCCTCTCCCACCCGAAACACCCAAGTAGTCCACATCTTCCTCCTCCTCCCTCCGCCTTCCCCCTCCCCCCCAAGCCCTCCTTGGTCACCACCTTAATCTAGGCCTTCATCTCTTGCTCACATCATCATAATTACTTCCCAATTCACCTTCCTACCTCCATTCTCCCCTCTCCAATCCATCTATCACAAGCCTCATAAAATGAGCTTCTATCAGCGAATAAGCATCTAGCTATTGAGTGTTATTCTACGTCAAGCACTGTGCCCTAAGTGCTGAGGATAGAAAGGCAAAAAACTGCCCACCCTCCAAGAGCTTACGTCCCAGTGGGGGAGAGAAGAGCCAAAGGAGCTAGCAGGGAGTTTCGGCTGTGGCCCAGACTGTGAGGGAGGCCTGCTGGCAGGGCCAAGGGAGCCGAGTCTTGAAGAAGGGATTCTGAGACTCTGCAGGGAGGCACAGGGACAAACATACAGAGAGGGCAGATGGGGCAGCGCAAGGCGCAGTCGGAGGGGCAGCAGGGCTGCGCCAGCAGAGAGGTTCCAGAGCTATTTCCTATCACCGTCATTGAGCAGGACAGCTCCAATCCTGTCCTAGGAGAAGCCCATAAATGAGGAAAATGACCATACCTGTGGCTTCCCAGGGTCTCCAGAAGAAAAGCTGCCCCAGCTGGCACTGAAGGCTCTACTCCTGCCCCTACCTATGTTCCCGACCCTATTTCACACACAAGCCATCCCCCAAAGCCATCCCAACTGCTCCTCCCTTGTGCCTGGTACAGAAGCTGTCATCCCTTGGAGGCCAGTAACTCTTCTTGTCCAGAAACCTCCTCCTTGTACCCCATCTTCCAGACCACACCTGGGCCCTATGGCAGGGGCAATCACTTCTCATCTGCCGTTTCCCCAGTACGTGGCCAGCATGTCTTTGATGGAGTGAACCTAAGTTCGGCCCAGGGTCCTTCACTGGGGTCCTCCAGGTGCCCTCGCGCTCAGGCTCCCACCAAGGGCAGCTCCTCCTGCTCCTACCTGGCAGGCAGGCAGCACAGCTGTGAAGGGTGCTCCCTCCCTCCAAGGTTATGTCCCTACATGTTGGGCAGCCCGGCTGCCAAGGGCACTCCCTTATGGTAGTAGAATTCCCGATCTGCCTGGGGAAGGGTGGAGGCCAGAAAGAAAGAGCTCTCAATCACAGAGGAGTCACCAGGACAGAAAGAAGCCCAGCTGCTCGGAGCTGATCTCCTAGGTGGTAAGAGGGTCGCAGTCCAGACCAGATAGGGAAGGCAGCAGGAAGCAGACTTTCAGGATGATCCCATCAAATTCTCTCTAGCCAGCTCAGCCATCTACTTCTACATTGATGCCCCCAAAAGCCAAGAGAAGCTGCCCATCCTCCCGGGGAAGCCTTCCTGCTGCTTCCTTCTCTGGCCCTCGTAGTCAAGCACACAGCAATTGTTGCACAAAGAAATAAGAAAAGAAGTCAGAATGTGGAGTG